TTATATTATATTATATTATATTATATTATATTATATTATATTATATTATATTATATTATATTGTGGGGTATGCTGTAAAATATTTTTGGAAGTTGTAAATAAAACAAAGATTATTATAGTATTCTTTACAATAAAATACTAATTAAATTTTTCACAATTTTTAGATTTAATACAATGTGTTTCTTGTCATTTCCTTGTAATTGTTTGTGAAATTTACTAGCAATTTCTGATTTAAAGTTGCTTCTACGCCATTTTTATTTTTCAGTGATTAACTACAATCTGACCACACTGGCATGTTGGCATTGTCTTATGATTTACAGTTGAATTGCAGCTTTATGGGTTAGTAAAGTTTGACCTTTTTTGGTCTACTGTTTTTGAATACCACATATTTAGACATACCACTCATTTGACATACTTCTTTTTACATATTGTATAGTAACTATAAAAGGCTGGGCTGACTCCTTTATTTTGCTGTTTACATGAGCTTTTTGCTCTAGTTTATGTGTGGAATAAAAAAAAATTGCTTACGTGACTTTCATCCATCCTACCCATATACTTGTTAGAAACAGAAATCAAAACTCTATTAGAGTATTACGGTGTCTAAATAATCCTTGTATAGAGTGGGGTGGTCTCTGTGTTGATTCATCTTGATTGACAGTATTTTCTTTATATCATCAAATTTATTCTGAACTGAGTTACAGTTGGTGGGTTTCTCAAAACATATTAAATGACCTGGAAAATGCACTGTTCGTAGGCAAAAGGGTGTATAGTAAAGTTAGGCTTTTGTCTAAGAATGGATTTTTAATTTAACTGCATTATCAGCAAGGTGGTCAGAGTATGAGCGAGTGAGAGAGAGTGTGATTGGACATGGGGGAAGAGCAGTGAAGGTTACATTAGGTAACTCTAAGTACTCAGCTACATTTACATTGCCAAGATAGATTAGATTCAGATAAGCTCATAGCAAGCTCTGATACTTCGGCTGAGAGATTGCTCTGGTGTAAAGGCTCTGTTGGATTTGTTAGAGAGATAAATATGATAGCGTGAGAGTGAGGGGCCAGTGGCCAGTTTGGTTTTAGCTTGGCACATGATGTTGCAGCATGGCACTCCGAGTGCCCTTGAGAACAGCAAAAATGCTGCCAAAAGGCTAAAACTAAAATATTCACCCAAATTATAAAACCTCCTGACATCTATTTGACATAAGTAAATAATCTGTCTAAAATCTGATCTACGGTCATGCAAAGACTACTTTACACTTCAAAAATAATACTTTGGCTGAACTTAATTCAGTTGTGAACAGTGTTTACACACTTTTGATGGGTTTTCTTCCAATTAAGATTGAATTGTGAACTCAAATGAAATTCTTTGTTTTTGATAGTTTTCTCTTCACATGAAGGTTACATACTTTCCTGACAAAGAGAATGCATTTGGTTTAATTAATTAAACAGTAAGAAATACATAAATAACTACATTGCTTTCTTTTATATATACAATAGAAGTTTATGCAATGTCCCCTTTTTGATAGCTAATTTAATGAGTGTGTGTAGCAAAAAGTACAAAATGCTTAATCCATGCTACTTGACTCTCTTTTAACAGAGTCTCTAGCTCTAACTCTTCCACATACATACATGGACTGCATACAAGTAGAAATGCTTTAGCGTGGTGTCTGGACTTCATGCATCATGTATCATCCCCATTATGCAAGCATATAGTGAGTCCTCCTCAGCCCAAAATCCCAGCAGAAACATGGACAAGAATCCCAGCAGTCTGACTATGAAATATTCATGCTGGTGCCATTCCTATTCATGGCTGGCAGAGAGCTGGGCTTAATCGAGAACACTTCTTCTTGTGTAATAACTTTGCACTTCATGCCTTCATAATGGGAGCTGATTGTCAATAGACATGAAATACCGATCACTTGGAGTTAAATGATTTGCCGGTTCCCCTTTGATATTTCCTCTATAGATGCAAAACGTATTAGCGGTCTCCATGAGGTGAAAGATTGAGTCATTTCAACCTCATCTAACCTTTAAAGACTTTCTGTGAGATATCACTTTGCTCCGGACATGCTGGGAGAGTGCGGTAATCTGCTGAATGAGTTCAAATGACTTTGCAGCTTTGGTATGTATGAGCATTGACTGTTATTAAATACAAATTTGCTTTATGATTTAAATCATAGGGAAAATAAGGCATTACACCTTCACTATAAAGAATGCAATTTAAACTTTTCCTAATTTCCTAATTGTTTTGATGCTGATTCATCACACGCAAGTTAATTATTGGGTTATCCTGTAATTACAGAGGGAAACAAAGCTCTTACAGGGATATGAAAGGCAAATTTCTTTTGATGTGTGGAAGCATAAAAATGAGAGCTTGGTTGTCTGTAGTCCCTTACACTGTCTGTGCATTTGCTGTAGGGGTGGGCGATATACCGGTAGACACGATTAACCAGTAGAAATTTGTCAACCGGTAGAGATTTCTGACTATCGTCTCTATCGTGGTTACACGGTCATGTGATGTTGCTGTGCTATGTGGTCATGAAAACTTTTTTTAATAATTGCGGTTTAAAAACAAGTGATTTTAAGCTGTTGAAATGCAATCAGCAGCAAAGTGCTATATGCGTGCGTAGAGCACGGGAGTATTGAATGGAGTTATTTTTGGCGCTTTATAGGCCTTGAACAGTTAAATGGACTTGTATGTATCAAAATGACAATATTTGCAAGTATCCTCATAAACACAGTAATTTAGATCTTAAATGAAAGCAAACAGCTGAGAAAGAAAACACACGTGTAACAGTATATTGGATCCAGGCAGCTCTTAAAGTGACAGCAGTCTAATATTCCTGCTGTTTGTCATATTAATCAAACAACAAAAGAGAGAAAATCTCTTACTGCTCTTGGCTAATTCACTTTTGTAACTTTAATAAGAAGAAATATAGGCTATATTTAATTTACACAGTGAAGAATTAGGCTATACATTTGATTGCTTTATACAATGTATGTAACATTTCTTATTTATTAGTTGTTATTGGAGTTTTTTTGTTCTATTGCTTGTAATTAGTTTCTTATTCTTATTTAATCGCTAATCGTTTACTTGTCTTCAAGTAAACTTTGCTTTTTGAAATTTAGGCTAGCATATTTTTGTGATATTGACACTTGTGACAAGAATTATGAAATTTTTATGGTATCAAAACATTTGATATCATAAAGACCTTATTTAAAGCAAAAATAACGATATTGTGATATATATTGTTACCGTGAAATAAAAATACTCAAGTCGTGATATAAGATTTTGGCTTACCCCTAATTTGCAGTATGACAAATTTGTGTATTTTGACTCCTCTGTGGCTCTTTCTGTCTCATACTTGCTCTTAGACCTGATGCAAATAAGGCTTGGTCTAGTTCTGTTTTTGGTATAGTTTTTGTAGATTTGCTGCATTTATATAATGCATACAAGTACCTAACCATCAACAGGCATGCTAAGTGGTCTGTGTTGCTGAAGTAATTTAGTCATATACAATATGTAGAATATTGCTTTGCAGAGTTGTTAAAGTCTTTGAAAAGACGCCATTATCATCTCTCTGTAAACCACAAAAACTTGAATTTGTGAAAAAATGGTGATACCATGCAGATGCATGTTACATGTTTAGACTAAAGGTATGTGTACAGGTATGTAGTGTTTCTATACAAATTGGCATCGCCAACTACTGGACCCGCATGCAAAATACAGCTTTTTTAGTCGCTGCAGATCTGTGCGAATGTGGACTGTTTTGACAATGTTGTCGTCTGTACACAAAATCTTTCAAGAACAAAGGACAAAGGAACAACTTTTCCATTTTTAGTACATAGTTGTCATGTAAATGTCCCCTGGCTGACAATTACTGAATAAAACAGAAAAAAAAGCTATACAATATTTTGTCATAAAACAGTGTCTGTTTACATGACTTCATATCACAATAACTTATGTCTGTCCTCATCCTCAATAACAAACAATGTTCCCAGGTCCCACCCAGTTACCGTATTGCAAGTGTTATAGCGTTGCATCTGAAATCTCAGTTTTCTGTAATTTTATCATAGCAGCTGAAAGCGATCATATAATAAGTTGACAAGAGGCAGCAGGCAGTGCTGTCACCATTAAAAGTTGGAATCATTTTGGAATAATTCATTTGGCAGAAATAACTGCAGGCATAGAGATGGAAAAAGCACTGTGCTCTGGTCTCATCAGACATGATGCTGCACTCACTTATTAAAAGTGCAACGGAGTCCTGGAATGATGGTGTGGGGAGATTTGTGGATTAATGTACAATTTAGAGCCCTACCTCCGTAGCACTTTGAATTATTTAGATCTCTCAACCGAGGGGGCTGTCTATGCATACATAGTATTGAAGCTGGGACGCTGTGGAGAACGTTCAGGGGAACTTAGGTTTTCATAAGGATTCCTGAGGAAATTAGGCCATTGTGCTATGGGAACACTGTGAGCTCAATGCAGGAAACATCTGATTGCATTATTATTTCCAAGTCAAGAAGTGGTAAATTTGGGTTGCTCTCGAAAGCCTTATTTTTGAATCCATCATCTCTGAAGTATTTGTGCCAGAAATATGACGCATTGCTTTGCGCTGCATGTGTGCTTTGTACCTGTAATAAGAGTGGCAAATGTATCCTTAGAATGGGCATCCCACAGTTTTTATGATATTATGTTATTCAAAAAAGGCTATTTTCTCCACATGAGGTTTAATTTTACCAGTACCAGTACCTTACTGCTCCATTCAGCTGCCTAGCAGGAACCATCAATGGCACAATAACGTTGTTTGAGGTTCTACATACAGGCCATTCTGGGCTGTGATCATGTGTCCTGGACTTTTAATATTCAAGTGCCTCAGCAAAAATGTTTTTTTTTTCTTCTCAGGGTTTAAATGATGATATTTACAGTATATTTTTGGCTAGTGCTTGCCACATTTTCACAGTAATTTTTACACTATAGTCATATAATGTATTACTTACAACTAGATTATTATAGTTAACAATATAAACAATATACAATATAAAACAAAATAATGTTGAAAATGTTAATATAACTGATATAACTGCAACTTTAACTCAACTGAGATTATAAATGAGTTCCCAAGGAAACATTTTTCATTTTCTTCAACTTGTACTAAGATAACTAAGACTAAATCTGAAATAAAACATAAAAAACTGTATAGACATTAAAACAACTAATAAAAATGACACAAACACAAACATACTACAAATTAAAAACACAAATTAAAATAAAAATGGAAAATATAAAAATAACAACTAATTTAAACTATTAATACAATCTACAATAGTATCTAATTGATAATAATTAATTGCTTTATAATTCATTAAATAGCAACTCTATAATTTACATAATTAATTGTAAAGTACTAAACGGCTCAGCTCAACACAATCACAAATATATCACAATGCTGCAGGCTATGTTTTTTTCTGTAAAAATAAATAAATACATACCAATCTGAATACAGTATTTTTATGTTACATATACCATAATTATCTCTTAAGCAGTAAAATAACATAACCTAATCATTCAAACCCCCACTGGAGTAACAGAGTTAATTAGATCTAGGCAGCATGTTAAATGTAGTTATGGGAAAGTGTCCATTATCCCATTAATTAAAATGGCTGTGACTGGACTTAAAAGAAAGTTTATCCAGAGTGTAAATGCTCCTTATGTAATGACGTTTTTTTTTTTTTTCTAAGGAAATATTTATTTCATTGTTATCCCTATAATAGTCCCTGTTTTCTGGTTATTGACTTCACTTGGGTCACACGGTGGTCTCCTAAGGTGTAGGTGGAGAGATATTATAAAAGAAGGGCGTATGAAAGCGACGCTGTGCTTATGATAATGTCACCCGCTCAATTGCAGCACTGACCTTCTGCTATCCAGAGAGAACGAGAATAAAAAGATAAAACAAAGCAAAGAAAAAACACCTCTCTATCAAAGTCTCATAAAAGCACCCTTGGGCAGAGGTGCTGCTGGCACAAGCATCTTTGAGCTGACCGGAGATCATTTTTACAGCAGGGCTTCACCCCACACAGAGACTGAGGAGTGAGATGGATTTTTCATGTCTCAGCGCTCTCTGTATGTGCTTGGCATCATCCAGCAAACACGTGTGCCATCTTAATTATGCTTGCTTGCTGGGAAACAGATAGCATGGTGTATGATTAACAACTAAATCCAATGCATGGCAGTTTTCTTGCATGAAAATTAACATGGTTACATGCAGTCTGCTTAAGTGCCAAGTGCTGTTCTGCACATCAAGAAATGTGCACATTAAAATGTGTGAGAAAAAGTATTTTAACACTTAAAAAATACAGGCATCTCCTCTTAAGAAGCCAAAATGAAAATTTTGCCATTATTTGGTCACCTTCAGGTCATTCCAAACTATAGTATATTAAAGGGGTCATATGATGCGATTTCAATTTTTCCTTTCTCTTTGGAGTGTTACAAGCTCTTGGTGCATAAAGAAGATCTGTAAAGTTGCAAAGACTAAAGTCTCAAATCCAAAGAGATACTCTTTATAAAAGTTGAGTTAACCACGCCTACCTAAAATCGTGGTGAATAACACCTTTTTATTTGAGAAATGAAGAAGTGTATCAGGACTGGATCAAACACTTTGATGAGTCTGTTGGTAATTTAGTACTTTCTCCTGTTTATTGTTGGTTTCCTCTTTTCTGATAGTTTGGAATGAGGATAAAAAGATAAAAAAAAAAACAAGCAAATAAGTTCAAACATCAGTTCAATATCTACTATTTCCTGAATATCATGAAATTCAAGATGGCCTCCTCTGATGACGTCATAATATGCACAAGTATATTTACACCCCACATAAACTTTCGGTCATGCCCAACATTTTTCTAATTTAAAGTATGTCTCTATCTTTAAGCCCTTTGAAATTTTGATGTCAAAATCCAGCATTTTTCCCAAAAATCCCTGGCGCCTAAAGGATTAAGTAGCGGCCTCATTGAGCACTTGCCTAGACCAGGGGTAGGCAAGTTCGGTCCTAGAGAGCCGGAGTCCTGCAGAGTTCAGAGCCACCCCTGAAAAAAACCTCACCTGCCTATAGCCTTAGTAATCCTGAAGACGTTGATTGGCTTGTTCAGGTGTATTTGATTAGGGCTGGAGCTGAACTCTGCAGGACTGCGGCTCTCTAGGACCGAACTTGCCTACCCCTGGCCTAGACAGTGCTATCTGCCCTGCCAGGGTAGTAAGTAGATAGTCCTGTCTGTCACTTCCTTGGTGCTCTCCCACCATGTGGACAGGCATGCGCGTGATTGGATTTCGTTCCCCAATGTGTCCCCTAGGGGGCGAAGCATTGAGTTCCCTAGAAGGGGAATGTCTCGGGTTACGCATGCATGTAACCATGGTTCCCCGAGAGGGAACGAGATGCTGCGCCCCCTTTGCCATGCCTTCGGCCTGCCTGTCTACATCTCCTTCAGACAGCTAAAGTGGATGACGTATTTAGCAGGTGCCCTTTTATACTTCCGGGCATGACGTCATGGGCCAGGTGGGTCAATAGATTTGCGTTGTTTCACACGTGCTTCAGACACCGGTCATGCAGGCTGCATTCCCCAGCATCTCGTTCCTTCTCGGGGAACCATGGTTACATGCATAACCCGAGACGTTTCTTTTCTTCTATACGGAATGAAATAAAACCCCATTGTCATTGCCCAAGTTTAATTTATTTATATATATTATACATCAAATCACTTGAAGAGTTTCATTACACACACACACACACACACACAGAGAGATAGAAGCCCACAAGAAATACCAGACAGGTAATAAGTATTGCAATGTGTTTTCTGTAAAAGGAAGATAGTTCAAGATGTGTACTGTTTGATTCTCTTTGTTTTACTGACAAAACAGACAAAAATCAATAGTCTACAATCTACAAGCAGGACGAGGCGTCATGTCAAATTTGAGCTCACACATAATTGAACTATGTTTTGCTTTGATGTAACTTTTGTGAAATGCTTTGTTTTCTTCCAATTAAAATGAGGAATAAATGTTTTACTAAAACTGTTTTTGTTTAACTTAAAGTTTGCATTTTCAGGCCCCCAAAACACTGTTCTCATGTAACGGTCAAAGGGCATAAAAAGCTTTTTTTAGTTAAGTGGTGTCGTGTGAACACCTAATTGTAAGAATTCTGTAGTGCGTTGACATTGACATAGTTTGTTGTCAGAGTTTTTGTCAGAGTTGTGCAACCTACCTGTCGCAAAAATTGTCCTTGACTTCTCTTATAAACCAGCATTTTTCAGTTTAAACTCTAAGGGCCAGATTTACTAAACAGGGCAAATTAGCATTAAATCGCAATTCTATAAAAGCGCCGATGGGTGGGGAAAATTCTGTGGCTAATTTACTGACAATGCGCACATTAAAGAACACAGACGCAGACAGATAATTCCCAGACCAGCACAATCTACCAAGAGCAGCGCAAATTACCGCCTGCTTTAAGACATGCATTTTTTGGCCATTAAATAATGGCACAAATACCAGTAATTTGATGAATACAAATGTTTTAAATCGCATTGCGTGATTCATTTTAATACTCTCTTCCCATAAATTTTGCATCTGAAAGGGAAACTCCTTCAAATGCATATTCAATAAGGACAGGCGCAAAAATAACTGTGTCCATGCCTTTCAGCTCTAATTCTTAACTGCAGGTCTGACAGTACTATTTTAATGCCATAAGACGGTTTGGGCTGGAGCAAGCTGTTAGTAAATCTGGCCCTAAAAATAGATCAATCCAAAATGAATGTTTGTTGGCAAACATGCTGAAGATTAGCCAATAGCTGTAAATTATAAAGATATTTTGAAGAATGTTTCAACTTTTTGTGTCTACACAATGAAAGTCAGTGGGGTCCAAAACAACACTAGATACCACTGATTTTCATTGTATGGACAAAACAGTTTTCACATAAGAAAGAAAGGCATGCAGACTGGAATGACAAGAGGGTTAGTAAACGATGAAAGAATTTTCATTTTGGGTGAAATATCCTTTTAATACTAACCTTATAGTGGATTAAAATAGAAACAAGCAGATAACTGTGACAAATAAATTTGAATATGGACACTTCTAAATTAATCTTTATAAAGACTATTGATTATAGTTAGTAATAAAACATGAAGTTTTCCCTACAGGAACCCATGAAACAGAGCAATGGCTCATTGTGACAGATTATTTGTTGTTAAAATATAATGAATCCAAATACTCCTGAGAGATATTGCCACTTTCAGTGGTGCTATACCAGCTGTTCAAACGGCCACATATTTTTTGGAACAAGAACAAGATTTCCAGCCTCAGCGTATATGCTAATGTCCTCATAGCTCATTACCAGAAAGCTAAAACCATTGATTTTCAAAGGCATTTAAACTATTCTGGAACTGCTGTGGCATAATGCTAACAGAGCTAGCTTGACCTCAGTAGCCTCCGGCTCTGTTCCCTGCAGCACTTCAATTTTTACTCCGGGGCTTGAAAGAATTTCCATTAAATTACTATCTCACTCTCCATTTGACGGCAGAATAATATTAAAACCACAAAACTGAGAACTGTAGTTAATAGTGATTTTGTTACTTTCTACGTCACCCACTCACAAGCTGATGCTGTATGCAATGTAAAATAAACAAAGAAATAGAGAAACAACTGCTGATCTTTGTCTCACTGATTCATTTACATGTAATTTGATAAAAAACTTTGTTGTGTCTCAGAGCTCACAGGTGTTATTCACCTCAATTATATGGAGCAATGCTTGCTCTTTTATACATCCTCTCCCTTTCCTCCTCCTCCTTCTCCTCCCAACTTCTTCTTCTCCCTTTGTTCTGTATGATTTCTCCTGTAGAGTGACTCAGCTGGGCTTAGGGAGATCCAGCTGTTAGACAAGCTGTGAGGAGAACTTTGGCTCTTAACAGCCTTTGCAGCATCTGTTAATGGGGAATTTTTCTCTCTCTCTTTTCAAACTTAACAAGTTCAGCA